TCAACGAGCCAGCTTAACACTTTCCTAATTAAATCCATGGTTCTGTGATCTTTATGTGAGAATCTTTCGCACGTCCAGAAACATGCAGTCTTGATGAAATACGAGCAAAATGGCGTATGCTTGATACGCTTATCGTACTTAATATACCTGTTCTTGATGTCTTTCAGAACCACCATGCATTCAAAATAGGGTTGGAAAATTTCATGACTAAGCTTTGTCTCGGCTACGGAAAACGAAAGTCTCCATTCAATATCTCTCTGTGTGCTACTAGGATGACCAACGGCAACTACAAGACAGTCTAGGTGTGATATCTTTTTTAGCAACTCCTGTGATGGCCAATTAGCCGGTCTTTCTCGGTTAAAAAATGATTTGGTGATAGACGGCCAAGACTGACATTTCAAACACTGGACTACATCCCTTGATAAATAACCGCCATAGTGTGCAATGTCTGAACGTCCCACCAGCACCATTGGAGATTGTGTCGTTAACGCGGGACCCGTTAGATACATCTGACGTTTAGAGGTATTTTTGATAAGAGTATTATAAGGTGTAGTGAAATCGGAGGACTTCAAATATCCATTGTTATCAATAGTAACGTCCATGTTTAAGCATTCTGTATTTGCTTTCCTAATCCTCAGAAATGCTGGCTGATTTAAAACTTGCTCAGCAATCACATATCTGCCTTCGTGCATTTCTCCTTTTTCTGGGCACTTCCACAGTACAACCGGACTTTCTCGAAAATTTACCATTTCGTCAGTATCGTTAAAGATCCCGAGAGGTATACCTTCGTAACGACTTCCTGTCAGATAGACGTTCAGTGGCATGTTTATGACTCTTTTAAAGATGGAGCTGAATAGCTCCTGTTCAATCGCAAATATCGATGTCTGTGCCAATCTACCAAGTGTTCTGATTCGAACTGATGCAATGGCCAGTTCATCGATCAACAGACGTACCGGTCTCTTCTCGGCGTCGTCTGCCATACTTGTTGCAACTTATAACAGGTATACGATCTATAAATGACGCAGCTGAAAAATATAATAATAATAATAATAATAATAATAATAATAATATAATGAATTTGTAATTAATTTAGCAAATGAATGAATGAATGACTTAGCGAATGAATGAATTATTGAATGAATGAAGGCATATATGAATGAATGAATAAGTAAGTGAATGAATGAAAGAATAAATGAATAAATTAATGAATGAATGATTAGGTTCAACGTGATTTAGTTTAGTTTTTTTTATCCAATGTGTGTATATGTAAATAGTCAGGACTATATTCACAAACAATTTAGATTTCTTATCAATTATTATTGTGTGTACTAAATCGAATTATATCCTGAATAAACAATTATGTTATAAAGAAAAATGATGGTGATGATGATGAGATGATGGTGATGGTGATGGTGATGATGATGATGATGATGAGGATGATGATGATGATGATAATGATGATGAAGATAATGATGATGATTAGTTACCTCTTCTAGCAGCAAACAGCAATGCACCTCCTTGATTTATATGCTGACAGATTTCAGGAGAAAGAGAGTAAGGCCTGTCTCTTATACACATCTAGATGTGTATAAGAGACAGGTTGTATACGGCGTTTTGGTAACGCACTATTGGATGCTTTTCAAATCTTATTTATATCCTGTACACCTATAAAAGGTAATTCCCTAATGCAAATTAAAGTTTTTTAATGTAAGAAAAGAATATCCCACTCTTTGTAATAGAAATCCCCGATGCAACGACTTGCTCATTCTTTTTGTCATAGAATTATTATCTGTTGGAATTGCCTTCCTTTACCTGTGCGTAATGGAAATTTGAATATTTAAGAAATATGTTAAGGAATCATTCATATAACTGTTTTTTTTTAATCGTGTATGACTATACGTTTTGCTGATAAGTGCTTGTGGATTTCAAACATTTATTGTACAGGAACTCCGTTCCGTTTGGTATGCCCGCCTCCCCACTCACCAGCAATATGATACTCGTTGTTTCAATGGATTTTCTTTTTCTTTAAATTTTAATGTTTTAATTTTGTATTGTCGTTTTTTATTGTATGTCCCTGTGTATATATTTATATATTTTTATGGAGGAAATAAATATAATAGTAATTTAAAAATAAAGAAAAGTCCCAACTACAAGAAATACAACGATTGGTTTCCCACAACCAATGTCGATATCTTTTGGTTGAAAATCGTGGTCAAAGGTCAGTATCTAGTAGTGCCCAGTGAACAAATGCACAGATGTAAACACGTTCTCCCGAAGTAAAAATTGAAAATAAGCTCACAGCTTGATTTGCAGAAATTTATCGAATGAATTAAATTCGTATACATGTTATTAATCATTGCGTGCAGATAATGTGATAGTGTTTCAATCGATCAAACATTCGTTCCATTTATATAGTGTTGACAGTTTGCAAACATCCAGGAGTGAAGTTTAATTTGATATTTTAAGCTTTTAGAATCTGTGTTATCCAATATGTTGTGTTGCAATTAACTTTTATATGCAGCGATACTACTCTCCTTCATACCGACAAAAATCGTCATCGTCATCATCATCATCTTCATCATCATCATCATCATCATCATCATTATCATCATCATCATCATCATCATCATCATCATCATCATCATCAGCATTATCATTCATCATCACTATCCTCATCACTATCATCATTATCATCACCATAATCTTTATCATAAGCACCACCATTATCATCACCATCATTGCCATTGAGCATTAGCATTAGGCCTATATCACTACCACAACCATCATCTATCATTATAATCATTGACATCATTATCATAATTATTGTCATCATCACCTTAATCATCATCATCCTCATCATCATCATCATCATCATTACCACCATTGTGAACACAATCCCCGTCAATACCATCAACGCTACCAACATCGCTGTCGTCATTGTCATGACATCGTCATCGTCAAAGGATATTACTGCAAGAAAAAACTAAGTATGAAAACTGTGAGGTAAGGGGCGCGCTGGGGTGGGTGGGGGGAACAGGAAACAACCTCCAATGAAGATATGGTATCTAAATCGGTAAGTAACGTGTGTTACGGTGTATAAAAATGTACTGTAAACATGATTTTTCTAATATTACTAATATTATTATTTTCTTACCTCAGCCCCAACCATGCTGGGGCTTAGGTAGTAGGCCTATAAATCCGCCATCTGTGAAAATCTCTCCCTATAAGCCCCACCTTATTTCCTGTCCGCCACTGAACAAGTTTAGTATGCCCATATTACCATCAGAATCGATTAACTAACCACAAATTATCAAACATGTCTGAGCGCGAGGGGGTACGCCCACCTAACCTCAGCAGTGCTTGCACCTTATCTTTCACCAGCCATTTTGTCCACTCTCCACAAATTTGCACCAACCCAAAGAAAAAACTGCGTAACGTTACAGTGATAACCTTTACATCTACCGACACTTTAATCATTTCGAAATTTTATGTAAATCTGAGTAAGAGAAATAAAACGATTTATTTTCGACAGTCACAAAACTGGGACAAAACTTAGAAAGGCGTACGGTACATAAAACTATGTCACAAATACGTATGCAAAAATGAACAGGGACACCACGCTGTTTTTGTATTTTTAAAGAAATCTGTACGCTTGATCACCATCATCATATACAGTATAATAGATTCAAGTAAGATGTTTCAAATAATATAAAAATGTATGCAAACATGCTTTTGGAAAATTTTTTTTCGAGTTTCATTTACGTTAACGTCGACTCCGTCGTAGAAAGCACCAGGATTAATTACACCAGGATTAATCATAGGTCCCTGCATTCAACAATTATGATATTCATTGTCTGTTACTTACTATCAACTATTGCCCCGGCATTACTAATTTGGATCAAGACGACACGTACGAAATTATCTTCAATCACTTCCTGATTTCACGACGTGCACATGACACTCGGGACGCTACGTATCTCTCTCTGTGTTGACGTTGGGAACGTTTTACCTTCCTACCATGCACGATAATACTTTCTTCCTATTTACTATTTGTATATGAATGAAATACTAATAATATAATTCTGAGAATATTCATGTGTATTCAAGTGTATGGGTAGACTTGCATGTCTAATTATTAAATTGATATCACCATAAGCTATAAAAATGTGTAAAATATAAGCATGAATCTGTACTTACATCAGTGGCGTATCTACTCCCGGAGCCCCCACGAAAATTGCTCGCCCCACCTCCCCCCCACCTAAAAAAATCACGGTCATATTGCTCTCAAGAATATGAATTGGCTGCTTCGCAGCAATAAGGTACCTCTGCAAATGAATTATTCTTAGTTATTTTTTTTTCTTATTTTAATTTATTTCTTCCGAAAGTGTACTTTCTATCACATATAATTCCACTGTCTTAGTTATGCCTAGGCCTAGTCTTATGCCTCATCGTCCCCCACTACACAGTACATCAGCAGCTTCTCCCCCATACAGTACAGACGTTTGTTAGGTAACAACGTGATTGCAATTCCTTCCCAGGTGTTCATGTAACATTGACATAATTGTTAGCTAACCAGTTGTCTGTATTTCTTTGTGAAAATGAGTACCGCGGCGTACTCATTTTCACAAGTGCACTATTTCAGAAAGTGTAGTATCAGAATATTTTACACATACCTTAAAACCTCGAATTGAAGCCAAATGGGCTTAATCTCGATGTGAAGCCCATCTCGAGTTGAAGCCCCCTGTTTACTTTGCAAAAGTAGCTTCGAAAAGAAGCCCATCTCGAAAAGAAGCCCATCTAAAGTTCGCAAAAAAAAAAAAAAAAAAAAAAGAAGAAGAAGAAGAAGAAGCCCAGGGCTTCAATTTGGGGTTTTACGGTAATACATGAGGACAGCTTTATCATTCCAGTTTTAAAAGATGGGGTTATGGAAATTGAAAATCCACATTCACCTCCCAAATGACAAAATTGTAGAGAAATAAAGAGCACCATAAAACTGATAGTCCTAATTCTACAATAAAAACACTTGACTCAATTTATTTAATGTAAAATATCGAAAAGATGACATTTAGGAGCTAATTTCTATCATTGTTTTTAAATGAGGTATCTTGTACAGCACTTGGCTCGTCTGAAACTGTAAATACCGCCATATTATTTTATCTTATTCCCACAACACCGATATAGTTTTCTGACAACCCGGCCCTCAGCGTCTAGGTTGCCTCTGGGGTTGTTCTTCTGTCTGCCTACTGCCCTGTTGTATACGGCGTTTTGGTAACGCACTATTGGATGCTTTTCAAATCTTATTTATATCCTGTACACCTATAAAAGGTAATTCCCTAATGCAAATTAAAGTTTTTATAACACCAATTAATAACCGTGTGCAATCACTAACGAGTTCTACTGAAGTCGTCTTCAAAGAATCTTCCATGCTTTTCACGGCCCTAGATACTGTTTCTGCGTCGCCATCTTCTAATGACACCCTGGCCTGTATGTAAAAAGCCAGTGCAACAGGATGAATGTAAAGTTTGCGGAGTTCGATGACAAGTTGGTGAACATTCTGATCCACTGCCCATGCGCCGAATGCAAAATACATCTTATTTTCAAATTTTATTATGATATTAGATAATCGGCACATGAACGAGGTGTGTTTTTTCACAACACAAAGTGAAGGTTCATACTTTTTCAGTAAACCTTTGGCGGATCGGAAGTCGCGCTTTAAATAATAATACTTCAGTACTAAAACTAGTGTACCAATTCCTTGGTCGCTTAATTCTTCGTTGGGAAAGTACATTGTGTTTCCCAGGGAGTAGTAATGTAATACTTTATCTTGATACAGATCAGGGATACAAACACCTCGCCTTTCTAAGTACATTACTAAATGAGCATACATTGTTCCTAGAGAACGGTACAAACACGTATTGAATGTTTTCCCATACCCCATCGGTACAATATCTTCAATTTTTTCTACAATCGGTAGAATAAATGTTTCTGGGATCTTCAAAATATCCAAAGAAAGACATCCCTGGTCCAATATTCCAATTAATAATAATATTAAGCTTCTAAGTGGGTTCTCACTTGTGGAATCACAGATTGTCAAATACTTAACTAGTTCAAATGCGAAACTATTTGGAAGTAGCTTAGAAATAGTCTTTACAATTTCATCTCGTGCTCTGGGATGTTTCAAAAGACTTTGCTCCAGTGTTGCACAATCTGTTTCCACCTTAATTCCATCGATCCCTAGGTTGTCACACAGGGAGTTAATAATATCAACGTTCATTGGAAGACCTTTAAACATGAAACTCGACATCACCATCTTCCAAAGATCTCTGTCAATTTCAGACAATGTTGCAATTACTCCGTCGCAGTCCTCTCTTGAGAGATGACCAATCATGTTCTGTTCGGGGATAAAATAGTGAGGCAGTACTCTTCGTTGATAGCAATCAACGAGCCAGTTTAACACTTTCCTAATTAAATCCATGGTTCTGTGATCTTTATGTGAGAATCTTTCGCACGTCCAGAAACATGCAGTCTTGATGAAATACGAGCAAAATGGCGTATGTTTGATACGCTTATCGTACTTAATATACCTGTTCTTGATGTCTTTCAGAACCACCATGCATTCAAAATAGGGCTGGAAAATTTCATGACTAAGCTTTGTCTCGGCTACGGAAAACGAAAGTCTCCATTCAATATCTCTCTGTGTGCTACTTGGATGACCAACGGCAACTACAAGACAGTCTAGGTGTGATATCTTTTTTAGCAACTCCTGTGATGGCCAATTAGCTGGTCTTTCTCGGTTAAAAAATGATTTGGTAATAGACGGCCAAGACTGACATTTCAAACACTGGACTACATCCCTTGATAAAGAACCGCCATAGTGTGGAATGTCTTTCCGTCCCACCAGCACCATTGGAATATGTGTCGTTAACGCGGGACCCGTTAGATACATTTGACGTTTAGAGGTATTATTGATAAGAGTATTATAAGGTGTAGTGAAATCGGAGGACTTCAAATATCCATTGTTATCAATAGTAATGTCCATGTTTAAGCATTCTGTATTTGCTTTCTTAATCCTCAGAAATGCTGGCTGATTTAAAACTTGCTCAGCAATCACATATCTGCCTTCGTGCATTTCTCCTTTTTCTGGGCACTTCCACAGTACAACCGGACTTTCTCGAAAATTTACCATTTCGTCAATATCGTTAAAGATCTCGAGAGGCATACCTTCGTAACGACTTCCTGTCAGATAGACGTTCAGTGGCATGTTTATGGATCTTTTAAAGATGGAGCTGAATAGCTCCTGTTCAATCGCAAATATCGATGTCTTTGCCAATCTACCAAGTGTTCTGATTCGAACTGATGCAATGGCCAGTTCATCGATCAACAGACGTACCGGTCTCTTCTCGGCGTCGTCTGCCATACTTGTTGCAACTTATATAACAGGTATACGATCTATAAATGACGCAGCTGAAAAATATAATAATAAAAATAATAATAATAATAATAATAATAATAATAATAATAATATAATGAATTTGTAATTAATTTAGCAAATGAATGAATGAATGACTTAGCGAATGAATGAATTATTGAATGAATGAAGGCATATATGAATGAATGAATAAGTTAGTGAATGAATGAAAGAATAAATGAATAAATTAATGAATGAATGATTGAATTCCTGAATGAATGATAAATGAATCAATAAGTGATGATTATGTATTAGGTTCAACGTGATTTAGTTTAGTTTTTTTTTATCCAATGTGTGTATATGTAAATAGTCAGGACTATATTCACAAACAATTTAGATTTCTTATCAATTATTACTGTGTGTACTAAATCGAATTATATCTGAATAAACAATTATGTTATAAAGAAAAATGATGGTGATGGTGATGATGGTGATTATGATGATGATGAGATGATGGTGATGGTGATGGTGATGATGATAATGATGATGAGGATGATGATGATGATGATGATGATGATAATGATGATGAAGGTAATGATGATGATTAGTTACCTCTTCTAGCAGCAAACAGCAATGCACCTCCTTGATTTATATGCTGACAGATTTCAGGAGAAAGAGAGTAAGGCAATGGGTGTTCACAGAGAGACAGCAACGAATGACAGCCACAAAAGGAATAGACAGTAATGCATAGATTTGGATTTGTTTGTTTGATCCTGTTATCATTAAACACACAAGAAGACATAACATAAATTTGAATGGTAGCGCATGACACCACCAATATGTTTACACGGTAAAAGGAATAAAATATCTGATCAGAAATGATTAACTTTTCTTATCAATTCTAGAATTCGACTTTGTATTCAAAAGTTTACACGGTAAACTGATTTCATCCTTAATGTAAAAAAAGAATATCCTACTCTTTGTAATAGAAATCCCCGATGCAACGACTTGCTCATTCTTTTTGTCATAGAATTATTATCTGTTGGAATTGCCTTCCTTTACCTGTGCGTAATGGAAATTTGAATATTTAAGAAATATGTTAAGGAATCATTCATATAACTGTTTTTTTAAAATCGTGTATGACTATACGTTTTGCTGATGAGTGCTTGTGGATTTCAAACATTTATTGTACAGGAACTCCGTTCCGTTTGGTATGCCCGCCTCCCCACTCACCAGCAATATGATACTCGTTGTTTCAATGGATTTTCTTTTTCTTTAAATTTTAATGTTTTAATTTTGTATTGTCGTTTTTTATTGTATGTCCCTGTGTATATATTTATATATTTTTATGGAGGAAATAAATATAATAGTAATTTAAAAATAAAGAAAAGTCCCAACTACAAGAAATACAACGATTGGTTTCCCACAACCAATGACGATATCTTTTTGTTGAAAATCGTGGTCAAAGGTCAGTATGTAGTAGTGCCCAGTGAACAAATGCACAGATGTAAACACGTTCTCCCAAAGTAAAAATTAAAAATAAGCTCACAGCTTGATTTGCAGAAATTTATCGAATGATTTAAGTTCGTATACATGTTATTAATCATTGCGTGCAGATAATGTGATAGTGTTTCAATCGATCAAACATTCGTTCCATTTATATAGTGTTGACAGTTTGCAAACATCCAGGAGTGAAGTTTAATTTGATATTTTAAGCTTTTAGAGTCTGTGTTATCCAATATGTTGTGTTGCAATTAACTTTTTATATGCAGCGATACTACTCTCCTTCATACCGACAAAAATCGTCATCGTCATCGTCATCATCATCATCTTCATCATCATCATCATCATCATCATCATCATCATTATCATCATCATCATCATCATCATCATCAGCATTATCATTCATCATCACTATCCTCATCACTATCATCATTATCATCACCATAATCTTTATCATAAGCACCACCATTATCATCACCCTCATTGCCATTGAGCATTAGCATTAGGCCTATATCACTACCACAACCATCATCCATCATTATAATCATTGACATCATTATCATAATTATTGTCATCATCACCATAATCATCATCATCCTCATCATCATCATCATCATCATCATCATCATTACCACCACTATGAACACAATCCCCGTCAATACCATCAACGCTACCAACATCGCTGTCGTCATCGTCATGACACCGTTATCGCCAAAGGATATTACTGCAAGAAAAAACTAAGTATGAAAACTGAGAGGTAAGGGGCGCGCTGGGATTGGTGGGGGGAACAGAAAACAACCTCCAATGAAGATATGGTATCTAAATCGGTAAGTAACGTGTGTTACGGTGTATAAAAATGTACTGTAAACATGATTTTTCTAATATTACTAATATTATTATTTTCTTACCTCAGCCCCAACCATGCTGGTGCTTAGGTAGTAGGCCTATAAATCCGCCATCTGTGAAAATCTCTCCCTATAAGCCCCACCTTATTTCCTGTCCGCCACTGAAAAAGTTTAGTATGCCCATATTACCATCAGAATCGATTAACTAACCACAAATTATCAAACGTGTCTGAGCGCGAGGGGGTACGCTCACCTAACCTCAGCAGTGCTTGCACCTTATCTTTCACCAGCCATTTTGTCCACTCTCCACAAATTTGCACCAACCCAAAGAAAAAACTGCGTAACGTTACAGTGATAGCCTTTACATCTACCGACACTTTAATCATTTCGAAATTTTATGTAAATCTGAGTAAGAGAAATAAAGCGATTTATTTTCGACAGTCACAAAACTGGGACAAAACTTAGAAAGGCGTACGGTACATAAAACTATGTCACAAATACGTATGCAAAAATGAACAGGGACACCACGCTGTCTTTGTATTTTTAAAGAAATCTGTACGCTTGATCACCATCATCATATACAGTATAATAGATTCAAGTAAGATGTTTCAAATAATATAAAAATGTATGCAAACATGCTTTTGGAAAGGTTTTTTTTTTTAGAGTTTTATTTACGTTAACGTCGACTCCGTCTTAGAAAGCACCAGGATTAATTACACCAGGATTAATCATAGGTCCCTGCAATCAACAATTATGTGGATATTCATTGTCTGTTACTTACTATCAACTATTGCCCCGGCATTACTAATTTGGATCAAGACGACACGTACGAAATTATCTTCAATCACTTCCTGATTTCACGACGTACACATGACACTCGGGACGCTACGTACCTCTCTCTGTGTTGACGTTGGGAACGTTTTACCTTCCTACCATGCACGATAATACTTTCTTCCTATTTACTATTTATATATGAATGAAATACTAATAATAGAATCCTGAGAATATTCATCGTAATTGTTATTTTTTTAAAGAAACATCGTACCGACGTCATCTAGGTTTTCTACACTAATTTAAGTGTATGGGTAAACTTGCATGGTCTTTGTCTAATTATTAAATTGATATCACCATAAGCTATAAAAATGTGTAAAATATAAGCATGAATCTGTACTTACATCAGTGGCGTATCTACTCCCGGAGCCCCCACGAAAATTGCTCGCCCCACCCCCCCCCCACCTAAAAAAATCACGGTCATGTAGTTAAAAATCACCTTATTTTGCAAATTAGCGCCCCTCAACTGATCACCGATCCCCCTCTCCACCTTCGCCCCCAAGTCATCTAGATACGCCACTGACTTACATGGCCAGATGAATGAAAATACTCAATCGATGTGCCACCAAATCGTAACCAGCCTTCACCATGCCCTCACGATGTCACTGGGGACGCAACTGCCAAAAAACTATTTTTGGCAGCGAAAGGACGCTACCAATAAACAATCAACAAACTACCGGGTTTCTGAGTTAATTTGCAAGGTACTACATGGCTCAACTATTTTTTACTTAGGAGTTAATTGGTAAAAATCGCACACAAATAATACGACGTCACTGAAAACGCCGGGGACGGCAACTCGACTTCGAGAAAAATTTTCCAAATAAAGTTATACTAAATAATTTCTAATGATGAACTACTGTCTTCAGTTGTTTTTGTAGGTCATTCATTTTTATTAATGACTAGTATTTGGAGACGTACTGAATTCGGTACGATAACACGTTAAGTAATAACTATAAAACAATACAACAATTTCATTAAAAATAATTAGTTCATATTTGGTACATATACCAGAATAATTAAAATAAAGTCAATAAAAATTGGACAAATTCTTCAAAATACAAAATCCAATCAAATCAATAAGAGGAGAGAACAGAACACTACTTACACAGATACAAGCAACACAACAAACCATGAAAATACTTAAACACACCAAACTACTACCAAAATAAAGACGGATTATTTTACTTCGTTTAAAATTCTTTTTGAAATTTCAGTTAAATTATTATTATTATTATTATTATTATTATTATTATTAATACGTAGTCTATCAAAAGCTCACCAACAGCAGTAGAAAGGTGATAATAGTTAGAAAAGTGATAAATTGCTCTAAATGTGTCAATATTTAAAGTTTAGTGAATTTTTTCTCATTTTGAGACTTTTGTATTTGTTGTGGTACAATAGAAAAAAAAATAAGTGTCTCCTTAATAGGGGTTATTTGACCATTTGGTACACTCAGAAGGTGTCCCCGTCCCCTTAATAGGGTGTCCCCTTAATAGGCGTTGGCCGCAGTGTTAAAAGATAGGCCTATATCGCCCCTCGTTTCACGGAAAAGTGTCTCTTTAATAGAGGGTGTCTCCTGAATAGGTGTGTCCCAAAGGAGGAGTTCTACTGTAGATTTTAGTAGTGTACAATTTACTGTATCTTAATGCGCCGATAAAAGTATGAAATAAAACTCAAGGGGATGCATCAGCCGAATGTAGTACAATTGTTTATCAATGTGATTAATCTGCTCAATAAACAATTTTAATTTCTTGTGCAAATATAAAGATGTGGGTATAACCCACATCTTTATATACGACTTTTCATGGATCTCGACCTGCTATGTAGGCCCTCTTTAGGCTAGACGCGCCTAGACGGTTGGAAGCGACGATCGAAGAAAAACGGTTAATCAAGCCAAGGACTTCGCTAACTTCCATTCCTCAGTATGAAAATCCTTCCATTGATGGGCACTGTCTAAAATTTGCTTCCAGCTTATCTCTGAAAAGATTGTAACCTTTTCGTCAGCAGTTGGCTCAACATGAATTACACAGGAGCCAGTGAGCTTCCATGACGTCCTAGGCTCGGACATGACACGTTGTTGTTTGTTATTATTTCGCGACGTCATCAACGAGTACAATACATTCATTATCCACCATCAAAGGAAAACAAATTGGTTCGTGTGGGAATCGAGCACACAACCTCCATGTTTGCTATTCATTATCCACCATCAACTAAACTGCCTTAAAAAAAAAAACAAAAAAAACTGACTCGTGTGGGAATTGAACCCACGACCTTAAGAAATAAAAAAAAATTAAAAAAACTTGCCCCGTGTGGGAATCGAACCCACGATCGTTGAGTTTACTACCCCTGATCCAGCATGACTAAACGGAGGGAGGTAAACCGCAACCCGTAAGCCATAAATGCGATAAACCTAGCACCACACCAAGTACCAGTTAGTCAACTCTGATCCTACTGAAAAAAAAATCTTCGTATATATACACTGCAGGTTAATATTACGCATGGTCATGGTGTCAAAAATGGGCCGTGGGCCAAGAGGGTTTATTTTTTTGTCTAAAAATGCAGAATTAAATTTATAATCGATTTTTGATTGTTACCATCTCCATAACTTACGCACTTTTTTTTAAATAGACAAAAATGTTTGAAAAATTCATTATGCAAATTAGAAAAAAGGTAGACATGTTACGAGAAACCTGATGGTTGAGTGTTCAATTCCCACACGAATCAATTTTTTATTTATTTTTTTTTAAATTTTTATTTTTAAGGCGGTTTAGTTGATGGTGGATAATGAATAGCAAACCTGGAGGTTGTGTGTTCGATTCTCACACAAACCAATTTTTTTTAAGGCAATTTAGTTGATGGTGGATAATGAATAGCAAAACCTGGTGGTTGTGTGTTTGATTCCCACACGAACCATTTTTTAAGGCAGTTTAGTTGATGGTGGATAATGAATAGCAAACCTGGTGGTTGTGTGTTCGATTCCCACACTCAAATATTGGGGGATATATCCCCCCCGGGATCTACGCCTGTGTGATAGTGACTCTAGGGTGGTCGACATCAGGACATATCACCAACTTTAACCTTGCGGTTATGAAGCGCAAGCCAAGCCTCAATAATTCAGGAAAACAATGGTAGGCATAAAATCAGTCATTATTCAGGAACCTGAAGCATCACAGTAGTACAGGCACACAAATAAACAGATTACAACAATAAAAAAACACAAAATGAAAAAGAAAAAAGCAGCAAAAAGAGAGTTAGGCAAGCAGGTAAGTCTTGAGTGCACGTTTAAAAAGATTAGGTTCGGAGATATCTCTAAGGTCAGTTGGAAGATTATTCCAAAGCTTAGAAGCATAACAAGGAAATGAAAAGCCTCCAATTCTCTTGTTGTGACGTGGTATAATGAAATGTACAGATGAAGTAGTTTGGAGAAAAACCATAGATACATTTGTGAACAGTGAGAATAATAATAATAATAATTATCAATAATATTATTTAATTATTATTGTAATATTATTACTGTACTCTAATGTATTACAATGTTGCTATTATTGTTAAGCAAGGTTGTTAATCTTCATTAAGTAATATGATAAAAACATTGACAAAGTAATAATGATGAAAAGAGGTGGTACATTTCACAATGGTCATGCAACACTTCAATGTTTGTGTTTTATATTTGTTATTGCGTATACAGTATTTCTATGTAGGCTTATCATGCAATTACATACAAGAAAGAATTGTTGGCATTAAGATCTGTGACATTTTTTTTAAAACAAATACCCAGTCTCCGAAGGGAATCAGAGGATTTTGGCATTTCTTTATTGTTTAATTAAATTGTTTTTAACCATTATTATACTGTACTGAAATTAACAATCATCACCACCACACTGTCATAGGCTACAAGCAAAATTCAAAATCAACATGAAATTTAACTGTCAATCAACTTTTTATTTAATAATTATCTGTCTGTGTTATTCAAAGTTTACAAAAATGTAAATAAACAAATACTGTATAAGAATTTATCTAGTAAATTGAGTTACTGTAGTAACGTCAGCCTATACCTAACAGTATGCAAAATAATAATAGCAATAATAATATTTTAATAACAATAATTTAACAATAAAAAGTAATAATAATGAATTAATATATAATTAATAAAAATATAACAATAATAATAATCGATTATTTTGCATCTGTCGCTTGCATCTACCTATTCACTGCTGTTAAGGCCATATACGACATACTATATTTTGTGTAAGCCATTTCGGCCCTTAATTGAATAATAATATAACGTACGATGTAAAATGTACTCACTATAAATATTTCATCCGTGTCCCGGATCTCTTCATGAAATAT